GTGCTGGTAGTAGTAGTAGCAGCAGCAGGAGTAGTCGTGGTGGTGGTGGTGGTAGTGGTAGTGGAGCGTCCTTAGGACCAGCCGCTGCAGCAGTCGTGGTTGTGGTAGCTATCCTGCTCTGCTTTAAGACCCCAAGACAAGGGTTCAAGTTGTCCTTGCGATATCGACATTGGCCTCATCCTTGGCGAGTCCTAGAAGTGCAGCGCCGACTTGGAACGGCTTCGAATTGTGCACAACGCGAAGTTGCTTCGGAAATTTGTGTTTGTCTCTTTGCAAGACATGGTATCTTGCCTTGACAAATACAAGCATCAAATCCGAGACGCAGACTTTGTCACATGAAGGGCCCGTTGCTTGCCCTGCATGACGGCGGCTCTTCCTGCTTGCGTCTTTCCATACCTGGCTTCTTGTACGCTCGCCGAGGCCTTCTGTAACTATGCGCAGAATCCCGGCTGCGGTGGATCCGCCACTGGTGGTGTGGTGACGTTCTCGAATCTGCGGCACGCCTGGGGTGCCGCGGCAGTTGTTCATGTACAATTGCTCAAGATGGTAGTGACCCAGCAAGGGCTCGGTTGCCGGGTGAGCATCAGAATTCGGGTCTTGAAGATGCAACACCATCGACACATCATTTAGGACCACCAGGATCAGCTCATAGGTGCGAGTCAGTCACGCAATACTGACCTTCGAGCCATGAGCGACGTGAATACATGCCACACGAGGTTGCCCTGTGAAGCCCGTGCTATCCATCCCACGCTCGTATGTTCGCGACTTGGTGTCTTGGCAGCAACTCCGACATCTCTTGAGGTGGGAAGGCCTTCGCTCTCTGATTCACGACAAACTGTGGAATGCGACCGTGCCAGCCGACGTTTGATTCTTTGCCTGCGCGGTGCTTCCACCTCGATCTACGACTGCACGGGTATAGCTAGACTGCTCTTTCAGAAAGGGACGTTTCAGGAACACGTAGGAAACAGCCTGAGACTTGAGATTCTTGGAACGGTTCAAGCGCATGCAAATCTTGGCCTTCAGCCTGCCGACTGGGGATGTAAGCGGGGTCTTTGCCGTTTAGAGAGCACTCGGAGGGTTTCTCCGCTCAGGATGACTTGCGTGCCAAGCCAGGCCTGCCAAGTTGGTTGCTTTGGGCCGGAATGCCTCGCCGCTGCGACCTTCCAGTTTCATGTAGCCGCAGCCGGTGTCGATAAGTGTTGTATGGGTCGACAAGTTGTTAGGAATCACATCGACTCAAGCATCCTGACTTCTGGGCTGGCTTTAGTGCAGAGGCACCTACCAGACCCTGAAGCAGATGCTCCACAGTGGTTTTGATGCTTATCGAGCACATGGACACAAAGGACCTGCGACTTGATAGCAAAGATGGTTTCACAGGTTCTCATTCGGGTGTCTCGCCGTGAGTCCGTGTGAAGCGCAAGATCGACTGTCAGGTCCAGCAGTGCATCCATTTTTCTTGGGCCTGCAGCCAAGCAATGAGGGCAGTCCAACAGAGCGTATTCGGTCTTGGGGTTTGGGATTGAGATGGGTCACAGGTGTCCTGACAATCTCTGGCCTGAGGCGGTGAGTGTTCGCTGGGTACACCTACACACCTTCTGCACGGGAACCCGCTTTGATGGCATGCCAGGCGAGGTCGGCCCTGTGCTCAGGGTCGGGCAGCCGAGTGTGCCCTGCCACCGCAGGTGGCTCATCTCTTTGTGCAACGATGTTCGGCCACGGTGTGGCTTGGCACGGCATGTGCCGTCGGCAGCTGTATTGTACCTAATTGGCTTGCAGTGGTTTGCGGTGCCAGCCTTGTCAAGTCGCTAGCGTCACTGTGCAGTCGGTATTCGATGCTCCTTTTGAGCTTGCACGCCGAGGATGCCCACAACATTGCATCGCACTGGGCGCGATAGAGCCATGGCGAAGAATTGTCGACAGGTTCGAATGTTTTGTCAAGCCAGAGCAACCCAGCCCCCAGCCATCCTAATTAAACTAAACCAGACAACGCTCGAGGGTGGTAGGGCATCATCCCAAGATCTCGCATGCTTTTCTCAAGGACTTCAGTGTCGCTATCAGCCACAAGCAGACATGCAAGTGGCAATGGCGGGGGTGTGTCCCGTGTAGGATGTGTTCCTGGGTGAAATAGAACACCGTTTGTACAGAGTTAAACGCGCAGGTGTTGATTGATCCAGTGCGTCGTTTGGTGTAAGGTGCGTTAAGGTGGACGGCCCTCGTGACCACTGCAGAACTTCGAAACGGTACTACCGGAATATCCGGAATATGTACATCTGCAGAGGGGACAGAACAGAGGCATAAGTCATAAGCGTCAAGCTCGCCATCCATGTCAAGCAATCCTCGTAAACTGCAACAGATGTGGTGGTGTGTGCCGGGCACCAGAATTCGGAAAGTGTCTGGTCTCTGGTCTCTTTAACAGGATTGAAGTAAGGAGCTGCGCTGCTTGTTTTAGCCGCAGACCCTGACCAGAGAATACAAAGCTTAAAGCCAGCACTTGGAACAATTCGACCGGCCCTTGCTGGGTCCAGTTTAATGTGCAGCGCTGCGATACTCTCCGGAGTGGCAGTGGCTTTGCAGACTGCAGGTCGACGAGGGCATAGGCTAATAGGGCGGCTAGCCGTAGCCCTTCGGAGGGTTGCATATCTCGAATCTTCCTGGGGCTCTGATAACTTTGCGAACATCGCAGAGGGCTCCTGAAAGGGCTGAAGGCTCTGAGGGTGACAACGCACGTGCGCACTCCCAGAGGAATTTCCTCGGCCTGTGATGCATGACCTATGGCGCAGCCATAGGAGGATATGTGTGGGATCTTGAGTACATTTTTTGTGGCGACCGTCATCGCCGTCACAAGTCATGAAATACGGCGTGTACAAGCGCAACGAGCCTGTACGTAGTGCTCTTTCGAGGGTGCATCCTTTATTGCTGGGGAAAACCGGCGAGGTGTGTTGGACAGCGACGTCTGCACCCAGTCTCCAAAAAGAGCCTCAGTGTCTACATACGGGCTCACATGTTGGCTGTTTTCGTGGCGTTTGTGGTGCGCAAGCTATGTCCATGAGTGGCTGTGCGTGGCTGTGAGCCCTCTCCGTGAGTATCCGGTCACGGTCGCCGGAGAAGATACCACACCGTAGAAAGAGTGTCCATTGCACAGGATCACACGTTGACCATGTTGGCCTATGCTGCCGGGCTGGTGGCGGCGCTGCCGGCCAGGAACCCTGAGGAGCCCAAAACACCGCGACTTTGCGTTTTGTATTCTTTCGTATCGATGCGGAGAACAAGGTCTAGAGTCTACTGTAACGTTCAGACAGCAATGCTTGGCTGCTCCGAACTATTAGCATCAAGAAACAGGGCCTTCAAACTTTGCTCAAGCGGTAACTGACCGGAGTTGCCTTGAAGTTCCTAGGAGTGCTGGAGAAACGTGTCCAAGATTTTGGGAGAACCGTCAGCTGAGGCGTCGGCGGCCCTTGTCCGACGGCTTTCCCGCGGACGTTCAGGTACTCGTACCGACAAAGCAGTTCAAGCATGGCCGCTCTCGTTGTGGCATTGCGATGGCGGGCAACACTTGTGTATTGGCATGCGGCAAGAATGCCCAACTTGAAACAGTCTCTTCATTCTTGTGTCTCTGTGTGGCAAAGTTGAATACGGCAGCAGATGTGTAAGCAGCAGTAATGAAAGAACGTGCGGAGCCCAGTCTTGCTCGGCGAATTCCACATTCTCCGCAGGGTGGGCAGCCAGAGAGGTCAGCAGCTCAACTTCCCTTGCAGCGATCCCACGGACCAAGGGTTTGCCAAACGCCTGCACCCGTAGCGAGGCTTCGGAGACAGAGCTCCTGGAGGAGCTTTGTCATTGGTGGCGTTTGTTTGGAGAGGGGTGTCTTTGCTTCGGCGGGGCTTGAATGAGAAGGATGGGCATCCAAGTAGGCCCTGGCAGGCGGAAGAGCAGCTTGAGTGAGCACCCGGCAGCGTAGTGATGTGATGTGCTTTCCGACATTCCTGTGTGGACATCGAGGGCTTAGGGATGCTTAGGGCGCAGCACCGGTCACCAAGGTTGGCGCCTTCGATAGCCTGTCATGATATTTTTCTGGGTATGGTCGTGGTGTCTGTCTAAGTTCCCGTAGTTGCAGCCAGTCTCGCAAAGCAGTGCAAGGCTTGCTCAAGTTTCACCTCTACTGCAGAGGAGGGACAAGACTTTAATCACGAGAACCAACCAGCAATCGACAGGCTTTAGCTGGTGTTGACGCTGTGGACTTCAGCGGAAGCTTCTTGCGAACGATTTTGATCCCGACACTCCTCTCAGAATTACAAACGCTTGGTCTGCATTGGTCGACGCAACTTGCAAAGCTCCGTCGACAGTAGCTCGAGGCACCCATGTGTCAGAAGCACCTGAGTGCTCTCCATAGGCCTCTAAAGCCACAATGCTTCGCTCTCCCACGAAGAAGACCCTTTTTGGCTGGCCTTTGCTGCTTCCAGACTTCATGCAGTCCGACAGCGCAACTGAATTGCTCACCCGATCGAATCTGAGCATCAGAGTGGCTGGTCTTTTGAGAAATGTCCTCGCAGGGATGGCAAGCGATTCGGCATTCCGATGGCATTCCGTTCACTGCAAGATGTAGCCACAGCCGCAGTATCGCGATGCCATGCACTCTGCCTCCGCAGTTTGCCGGAACCGCTGAGCCGGAAGAACGTCCTACTTAGTCTTAGGGTCTTCAAGGAAGGCGATCCACCATAGACCTCTGGGACTAGTCAGCTCGCGGCATTCCGCCCAAAAGGCGCTGCAGACCCTGGATCCGGGCTGTGCCCCTTGAGCCACTCATGTCAGGTTTCGTTTGGCTTGGTTCCAGGATCCCACTGAATATCAGCTGTAGGTCGTCCCAAGACGGGTTGGACTTGTAGCACATGTAGCTGACACTGCTGCATGTCCCGGCCCGGGCGCGAGACAGACTGCGTAAGTCCAACTCACAGCCTAGTTGAAACATTAGCATCAAAGCAGCAAATTGAGCACTGCACCAGGCCCCGGTCCGGCCTCGGATGTGCCGCCGTGGACGGCTGAGTGCCAACACAGACGGAGTGAGGGGAAATTCGCTCCAAGAGACCTTTCCTTTTTGCTATTGAGAGTGCCTTTGCCTCCGTGCTGAGGCCTCCTGTGCCACCCGTCAGAGACTCAGCGCATGCGGCGGCGCATGCCTGGTCTTTCTGCACAGCATGTCAAAGCCTACAGTAGCTTGCAGGCAGAGCTCTGTGTCGGCGTGATCCACCAAAATGCAGGAGGCCCAGCATTGACTGCTCATTGGGTGGAGGAGAACTCAAGGCTGCAAAGCTGTTGATCCCGACAGTCTGATTTCAGCTCCGATAGACTTGTGAGAACCTTTGCTGTATGCCGCATGACTGTATGCCTTTACCCTCGCTGCTTTTCCTGAGCAACCGAGGTATTCTATTTCGAGGGAAGGCAGCGACGAAGAATCTACCAGGCCAGTGCATGTCCTGGCGAGTTTTGCGCATCTTCCGGCATACAGATGACGCCTGGGAATCGATGCCTATGGATGAAAGCTGGCGACGGCATGCTGGCTAACATGGGCTAACCCAGACACGCCCGAATACGTTGGACATCATCTGGAATGACCACCGTAGGGCTCCCGTCAGATGATGTCAAAGCACCCATGCTACATATTGGTGCTTTGTCGAAAATATTCGAAAATCTCAAGGATGCCCCTATCAACCGAGCCATTCTCTGCAAGGACGTGGAGCTCCACGCGCTCATCCTGACTCTTATCCTCACGCTTCTCCTCTCGCCGGGGTGGGGATCCCGTATTTGGGGGTATGAAGCTTTTGAGATTTGCGAGCGTGCTCAGAGGCTCCCGTAGGCGGCAAGGCTGAGCTTTCCACCAAGGCGAGGCTTGCTGGATCCAAGTTACTCCGATCAGTACCCTACCCACCGGCACGGCACTTGGCCATCTGCGCTGTCATCGCCGGCTGGTGTTACCGACACCTTCCACCTTTCGATGCATCCGCGCAGGCACCGACGGAACATTCCCTTTCTCCTCAGCGCACACCTGAACCACAGTGCCAACAGGCTGTGGGCACACGGCGTCAGGTCAGCTTCGGTAGGCAAGTATGTACGCTTCCAGTGTAGCCCTTTGAGAATGTATGCAGATGTGCCTCTTTGCTGCGGCGGTTGGAGCAACTTTGTCAGCGTCTCCTTGCTGTTCATTGAAAGGGCTGTGGCTTGTCACGATCGGCTTCAGAAGCTATCATGATGAAACTGCCGCTGTTGGGGCCTGAAGGTCTTCAGGCCATGCGAGTCTTAACTTACTGTATCTTGGTTCGCATCGTCCTGAGTCCCCACATTGGAGCAGATCGCTTCAAAACCTTCCGCCGCCACAGAGCTTCAGCAAGACTTAGCCGCTGGGGTTTAGGGCCGCAGCTCTGCTACTGGCCGCTGGGACGCATTGTCTCAGTGGCGAAAGAGAAGGCCGGAGGATTTAAACAAAATCTGTTATTAAACAACCCTCATATTTCTTTGGATAGACGCTCCCATTCCCCATCTCCCATCCCAAACGGCCACACTGCACGCACACAGAGGAATGTATGGGCTGCGCAGTATCAACAACATGTACTCGGAGCATGCCGGGCAGCGTTCGGGACTCAGTATTCTACGGCGTGACCGTGGCATGAACCAGCTAAAGACCACTGCAGAATCTCATGCAGTTGCGGATGCAAGTTGGAAGCCTTTTCCAAGCATTGCTGTAGGCAGTGATTTCATCATTGTCGGGCATCCCGAGTTCCAGCAGGGCAAGGCGCAGACCCCAGGATAGAGAAAGGAGATACCAGGAGTGTCGTGTTGATTGCTGCGGCCTAATGTTTGAGCTCTGCTTTTCTTATGCAAGGCATTTTCCTGCTCGCCCCTTCGCCCTGCCCGGCCATGTCGGTGACTTCCTCATGCTACGGTTTGGGGCGTTCTGCGAAGGTTTTTTCCTTTGTTTCTCGGTTCCCGTCGCAACTCGATCTTCCTTCACCGCACCCCCAAAAGGCCCTTGCCAACGCTGAAAGCTCCTCCACTTCCGTTTCAGGTGCGCAGCACAACGCGGACCTTCCCGGCTTGGGACATGAGGCAGCTCCGAGGCTTGTCGTGTTGAGGCAGGTGAGGCCTGCAAAGGCACCTTATTTTCAGAAGAGTGGCCAAGCTGTGCTGGCTTGACATGCTTTGTCATGAAGCAGTGGCAGGCCACTTCCCAGCAAGCCGGGAAACAACTTAGCGAAGTCACGGCCTGCTCCCCAGAAGAGAATCTCAACTTGGAGAGTGGCCTCATGTTGCACTGCTCGAGACATGGTACAAAAGTGGCTCTTTGCAGTACTCCAGATCTTCCAGTCCTCAGCTCCAGGCTCGAGGCAAAGGCAGGAGTAAGGCCAGCAAGCTTTTCGCGTATCCGCTTGTTACCTGGCACAGGGAGCACTTTCTTGACACCGATTCGTTCTGCCTCTCGGTTGTGCCTTCGTTCCTCTTATTGATAGGCATCATAAATCATGCTCGAGTCAGAGAATCACGCCGGGGAGCAACATGACATCAGGCTGCGGAAGTGTTCGCAGACGATTCCAAGAAAACTGTATTTTCCTCAAGTGAGGTCGATACCAGCCTTGGTGCGACAGTTGAGCGCACGCGCCCTTAGAGCAACGGCAATCTCAAGCTTCGGCAGTGATTTTCCCCGCACCTCTGCGCGATGTGCCGAGGATCCCGGTCCTGTGGGAAACCTGAAGGAACGTGCGCGGGAAGCTCAAGTAAAGAACTTGTCAAGGATTTTTGCATCGTGGGACTGAACTGTTCACGACGGCTTTCTGTGGAATTGCCGTGCCTCGTCGTTAAGCACATGCAATAGGCAGCAACGCAACGCAGACTTGCATCCAAACCCACGATTTCAGTTGTCATGCCTTGCACGAAGTGCAATAATCACAACCGACACGTTTGCCGGAGGCTGGGTTACTTGATTCCTGTGACCGCTTCCGAGCCGCGGCTCGAGGTGCCTCCGGGAACCAGGCGGGGTCTCCAGCCCCCGTGGGGCCGTGGGGGCACCAAGGAGAAAATCCGTTTTCTCGGGCCAGGGCGACATCTGCTGGGGATCTGCCGACGGAGGCACAGCTCCTTGCGATCACCACAATCGATCAGGCTTTGGTCTGGGTCGGTTTGGATGGGGGCACTTGGAGGTCTGTGAGCAATGTCCTCGGCGGAGTTTTCAGTCTTCGGATTTTTGGGAACATCCCAGCGGATGCTCTTCGAATGGCGCTGACTGCCGCGCGCGTCGACATACCAGCGGTAGGCACAGTCGGAGAGCCGGGGCAGCTGGAGTCGACGCGGCTGCTATGGTGTGTGGCGCGGCAGAAGGCCCAGAAGGGGGACATGGATCTTTATCAGATGGCCCCAGCCTAGCTGCAACCGCCGTGGCCCCCGCGGTTGCTCTTGGTGCTGGCCCGCCGACTGGCGTCGCTGCTGGCGACCAGGCCGAGAGGAAGGTCAAGGTCAGCAGTGTACTTGATCAGGCGGACGAGGCGGAAGTGCCGGAACTCAAGCAAGACGAGATCGACGGCTACTTCAAGGTGCTGTCAAAGTGCAAAGCAGGTCCCGTGCGACCGGAGGCGGAACCGTCTTCCGACCAGGTCTCCGCCTTAAAACTGAGGCTGGTAGACCTGGACATGTCGCCATACGCAGACTTCGCTTTGTTTGTCAGCTTCCAACATGCACCGCTTCGCCAAGTCCCTGAAGTTTAAGAACCACATCCTGCAGCCCGACGGGTCCTTCAGGACGGTGGAAGTGCCGGGTCCCCCGAACTATAACTATGATGCTTGGTTGGCTTCTTGGAATGTTTTCGAGAATGCCCTGCTCATGTTCCAAACTAGGACGCGGGGGGGGACAGAGTGCCGGAGTTGTACCGGGACCGGTTCCTGGTTTAGGTATCGCCAGGTGTGGCACCTCCTGGTGGTGGCAGAAGGGGCAGGCCCTGGCAGAAGTCTTCAGGGTCGCGGCGCACGACAGTGCGGGACCCGGCCATCAGGTTTATGGCTTCTGGCAAGTCCAGGGCGCGCCTGAGGAATGGGCTCCGGCACGGATCTCGCCGCCTGGCAGAGCCGGATGCAGAGGTTGCGTGCTAAGCTGGTCAAGCAGGAGCAGGAGGCTGCTTTGGCCGCGCCGCCCCCGTACGCCACCTTCCGGAGAAAAGGGAGGAAAGGGCAAGGGTGGGAAGGGACCCAGGGCAGATTTCTGACGGACCAGAGCGGCCGCAACATCTGCTTCGGCTACGGCGATGCGACTTGCACCGACCTGCTCGACAGAGGTTTCGCGCACGTGTGCGAGAAGTGCCTGGGCAAGCACTTGCTGGAGGAGTGCTCGGCACTTCGAAAGTCAGACAAGTGACGGGCCTCCGGGCCTCGCCCCCGGGCGCTTCCCGCCGGCCCGGGTGGCTACTGCGAAGGTAGGAGAACAGAGCTCTCGCAGAGCGCTCCAGGAGGACCCGCTGACGCTCCCCGGCGGAGTCTGTTGGGAAAGTCCCTGGGTGGTCGCAGGTGGTTGGGGTCTCCTTCCACAAATCCGCCGCGATGTTGACGGGAAGCAGTGGGCAGCCAACTTCGGGCCTCCTAGAGGAAGCCGGAGAGAAGGCGGCCAAGAGGATCGCAGCGTCGCTTGGGTGCCCGGGTGAAGAAGCGACCCGTGGCTTTACGGGATAGAGGTGTGCTCGGGCGGGGTTTTCCCCAAAGCGGGCCCCACCGATGCCCAATTGGCCTCCTGCGAGTACTTCGCCGGAAGGACTTCGTGGGATATAGACGCGAACTACTGGAGTTTCGCGGAGAAGCGAGGAGAGCGGTAAGGAGCTGGCCCGCCTCATCGAGGAAGGGCACCTCGAGCGCATTGGCACCTGGGAGCAGGTACTTGCGCGTTGTGGCATCCGACCATAGAATCGTGACGCCTTCCTCAATCTTCGATTCAGGAGTCGGAGCGGGGCTTTGCCGTCGTGAGGAGAGGACTAGGAGGTTCCTGGTCACACTTGTTTTCTGGGCTGCTTTAGAGGTTAGGTTGGTCACAAGCTGCACAGAGGAACTGCGATGCCCTGGATAGGGTAGTCAAGGGAGGGGTCCAGGTCCCGCTTGACGCAGCGAGGACCGAGACAACAGAGTGGAAGGGCGAGCCTGGTGAAGCGGCTTCGCTCTGTGGCGGGCGAGTTAGGCCGTGTGTCACCATGGTTTGGGCCGCAGTCGCAGCTATAAATGCAGGTCCCGGCCGCCCCTGGGGCCCGCGGCCCGCAAAGACCACCAGGAACCGTGTTCCTGAGTATGGTGGAGCGGCCAACTTTTTGCGAGGAGAAAGAGGAGGCGTGAAACGCCTGCACCCGCGACAGGTGCAGTTCATTGTCCGGACGGATGCCTCCGCCACAGGGTTTAGGGGATCTTCCTTAGCCAGGAAAGCATGCCGTTGCGATACTGGTTTTTGCTCCCAGGGGAGGTCCTGGACGCCCTGCGGTTGCCGGCGGGCGAGCCAGGGCACATGACGGCAGATGAGCTGCTGGTCCTCTTCTTCAGCTTGGTGATGTGGTGCCGATGGTTGGGGTCCAGAGCAGTAGCCGCCACGGCGCAGCTGGACAACGCATCGGCCCTCACCATCACGGACAAGCTGTCCAAAAAAACGATCTGCAACCGCATTGCGCCAGAGATTTCACTCCAGGCCGCAAGGGCCCAGGTTGAAGGGTTCGAGCATTATCGGAATACCCTTAACGTGGAGGCCGATGCTCTATCCGGGATATAGGTGAGGGCAAGGAAGTCCCTGCAAGACTGTTGCGGGTCCCGAGGGACATGTTTCCCTCGGACCCCCTCAAGCATCTCGCCATGCGAGACTGGCCAAGGCCAGTGGCAAAGACGAAAGGGAAGAAGAAAAAGAAGGAGGAAGAGGCGGAAGATGGCGGAAGAGGAGCACAATGGAGGAGGAAAGAAGGCTAGGAGGAGGAGGCAACCTGGCTGCACTTTTTGTGTCTGCTCTCCCCCTGCCTTCTGCAGCCGTTTTCCCACTATGTGTTCTCCGCAGTGTGGCTCACA